GGCTCAAAATGGGCACTGAAGCTGGAAACTAGAAGGTCTTTCTTAGTTTCCAACCCAACTAACTGGTCATACTGTGAGGATAGCTCATCTTGGAGATTTTGTGGTCTGTGGGACCATAAGAATAGTTCTATCTCCTCTGATATATTTGCTTCCAGCTGGAATCAAACAGGAAGAAACGTGAAAACATAAACACAGAATTCTCAGCTCAGAGAATCTGGAAATTAAAAATCTATATACCTCTCTCCACACAAAACCAGATACATTTAAAATGGTTTATTTAAAAAGTAAGGATTAAGTACATTATACATGGTTGTGATTATACCAGTAGAACTGAAGCACAGTGGAAATAACACTTTAGAACTGCAGACAGAAATGTAGCCTCAAGGGACGTGATATATTAGCCCTTGTGGATATGTGATCCATACAGAGAGAAAAGGAAATAGAAAAATAGTTTATTGTTAGATGCCTGGGCAGCTGAAGTGATTTCTCTTTTTACTCCTATTGTGGATGAGAAACGAGGAAGAGAGAGCTGATGATACACCTGAAACTTTGTTTCTTGGAAAATCAAATCTGATCCAATAGCTTTTTTTTTTTTTTTTTTTTTAAGTTCTGCTGTTACAGTATGTTATATACCAAAAAACTGATTATTGTTAATGATATGGTTCTATGATATCTGCAGGCCTTGCTGAGAAATGGGGCTCATTTGTTCGATGCTGGCTGGGGAAACCAGAGAGATGTGGAAGAACAGATGGGTTTTTTAAACCATCACTGAGCGGTTTCAAAGTCTGAGCACAGTCTAACTGTTCAGATAGATCAGCCATGGAGCAAAACTGTTCATGGCAAGGAATGCTGCAGATTTTTTCAGTTTTGTCAGAATCAAAGTTTTCCACAGGAAAGGACTGATCATCTGAGGATTTTCTTTTTTACTGGGATTGTCAAGTGAAAAGTTTTTTTTGCTTTGAACAATTTGCTGCACTGCAACTGTGTAAGTGTTCAGTGGCAGCCCCCGTTCTCCCACAGGACAAAAGCTCTGGTCCCTGTTATCTCCTTTGTGCCTTTGTTCCCTGTCCAGGCCCCGTATCCCATGAGCATCCCAGGATCCCCGCTCCAGCTCCGTTTATCCAAGGTGCCTGCTGGAGAAGGAGCAGATGCTCCGGCTCGGACCGAGACAGGGCATCCCCCTCGGGGAGCTGCTGAGACCAGCCCTGCCCTGGGGGAGGAGGCTCTGCCCAACACCCCAAAAACCCTCAGCAAGACGTTCTTTTTTATTTTCGCCAGCATGGTGTAAAAATACTTCACGTGCCTCTGCAGATGTGACCTGGGCTGAAGGAAAAACCTTGGACTTTGGCTGGAATCAGATGGTTTGAAGCACATTCACCGGAGAATGACGATTAAGAGAACAAAACCAACGCGCGGAGCAAACCTCACACTGTCGACTTCCAGTTCAAGGTACATGAGTTCAGAGAAACAGCCTATATCTAACTCCTGGTTTTAAAGGGAATGGTTTTATTCTTAATTACAGTAAACACGGATGAGGACTTAGTTCTAACTATTAGTTTATTAACACAGTGGGAAACAAATAGTTCTGGGAAATTGCACTTGAAAAATACATCGACTATAATTAGATGTAAATTAATTAGCACTTAGTATGACACACTAATGAGACAGAAGGTTGTTGTTTTTTTTTTTCATTGCAAACTTCTACTTCTATCATAGCTAATCAAAGTATTTTAATATTACGAAGTCTCAAAAAGTAGGAAATAATTTATTGTCTGAAAGCATAAAGATTCTTGTAAAAAAAACCTTTCATCAAGAACTTTAATAATTTTAGAACTCTTTTATGTTGTCCTAGCCGAAAAGTAGGTAAAAAAGTTTTCTTGTCTGCCTCTGTTTGAATATTTTTTTTTTTTTTAAAAAGGCTTGTGTAACATCTTTCTCCATAGTGTGTTGATACAGAAAGTAGCACAACATTTTTCTGCTTTTAAATCGTTCCCATCGCTCCGTTCGCCTCAGCTCTCAGAGTTCAGAGGTTCGATAAAAGGATCCCAGCAGAGTTTTAACCTGAATGGAAACTCTTAATGAGCAGGGATGAAGGCTCCAACCCACCTCTGCCAAAATAACGACGTGGCTCTGCCAGGCTGAGGGCCCAGCAGAGCTGAACAGCGACTAGGGGAAGACTTTCGCTTAGAATGGAGAATTGTGTCTTGGTTCTTGCAAGGAGAGAGGCTTAAGCAGGGTTTATCTGCGGGGAGATGGGGGGAGAAAGGGTTTAACTTGCTTTTTGGGATGTTAAGGCAGCTTCTCCGGGGTTTCCCTGGAGGACTTGGTTCCACTAGCTGAAAGCCTTGAATCCAAACCACCACCGAGTCACGGCCATCGCGGGATAAGTTAAGACTAAAGAGGTTTAACAGTTTGGCTGAGATCTCCCACCATCAGTGAGCCAAGCTTTCCATATCCTCTTTTTTTTTTTTTTTTTTTTTTCCCCCTTGTCACCACTTCTCTAGTCTTCTGAGTAAAGATGATGGGCATATTCAAAGGAATCTCCAGGAATCAGATGCTCCTCTCTCACTGCATCTAATTCATCTGTGGGAAATCGGGCACCTCATTCTCATATGGCTTGGTCGAGTGGTCACTAAAATCAGCACGAGTACTATTAAATTAAATTACCTTTGAGTCAGGCCCTCGAGCTTTGAGATCCAAGCCTAAAAGTGTAAAAAAATGAAAGCAGGAATTTCTAAGGAGAAGAAAAAAAAAAAAAATGTCAGGCTCTTTTAGAAACACAGAAGCAAAGGGTACAAATTAGTTCCCTCCTTACGTGATGCATAGAGTTTGCAGTGGGCTCTCTGCACGTAAGTAAAATGCATCATCACAAAATAAATTAAATCAGGTCGAACCACCACCATCTCCATCTAAAAGCAACTATACCTTGCACCATGCGGCACTTATTCATAATAAAAAGAGTTTAATAAATATCTCATAAACGGTGACTAAAATTTTTTTTTTTGTTCTGGTTTTTTTTTTTTTTTTTTTTTTTTTTTTTTAAAAATACAAAGTCGCCATCTGCTCTCGTTAACGCTCCGCTCCCGTCGCTGCAGGAAGGTTTGCTAGTTTAGCTCCTCGTCTTCCGCCGTTGCTTAGAGATCTTAGTTTCCAGTAGCGTTAGTGTTGCACTTGTGAAGCAGTAAGGAAATCAGGAATGCAGGCGCAGGGAACCGGCC